GAAATAATATTAAGGATTCTAAATGGGGGCAACCTTAAGATAGCTTTGTCTATTCTCATATTCGCTCCTAGTTAATTAATTTTATTTGTAAGTGGGGTAAATTTATCTCAACTCTATTGATAAGTGTTACTAGCTCTCACCAATCTCACCGGTTCATTTACTCCTAAAAAATAATTAAAAGATAGAAAATCAGACAAAAAAATGATTTTACCTAATCAATAAGAATATAATTAAATAAATATTCGCAGTAATTTTTTAAATATTAAAGAGTAAAAAATATAATCATGCCCTCAAGTTACTTGATTTAAACCTTACACACATGCATGTTGTTAGTTATACCCGGAACAAATAGTTTATACTTCCATAATATGTTCATCGCCGACATTCACAGGTCATCATCTGACCAAGTTTGCCTTCAAATATAAAGTGTTCAAGCTCACCATACTGCATCTTACTAACCATCTTAACTGCATCAAATCTCAATAATAACACACTCAACTATAAGATATCATATTTCCATAAACAACATGGACCACTCATGAACAAAGGCAACTTCAAACCTAGCATATGTCTACTATGCAGTAAGGATGTGGACCCTGTCAAATCTGTACACAATGGTCTTCTCCAAATCACTCTCATTGCAATGCTTTTATGTTCAGATGATACCACATAGTCATACTAACTTCCATCCTTCTGATTTTCTAATGTCACCTGACCCATGAACATGGACTAATAAAATAAGAAAGAATGGAGACTTGCACCTAGATAAACAAACCTATTCATGGGTATTCACTCATGCATATCTTAATACATTTAGACCAAACATAGTAATCTTTCCATTTTGAAGTAAATTATCTTTGTTGCACACTCAACCAAGGAGTAAAGAGGAACAAAGGCTGCAATCAATGAGGCATTCTTGTATTAGCTTAAACAGTGCGGGCATAAACCTAATTCAAGTATGAATCATTCCCTGTCAGTACAATAGAAACCCCAAATACCAGCATCCTTGTTCCTCACAACCATTTGAGAAACCAAAAAGACAATACAAGAACATAGAAGGAATAATGGCATAGTAATAGCACTTGAAACAATTAACTCAAACCCTCATCCTTTTAGAACATAAAAGTAAGTTGTTTACCTACTAAGGCTGAGTATGTGAAATAAGGTAGGCAAGGTGTTCAGTTTTCTGGGAATTCTTGGCTGGGTGCCGGTCCAAAGTGTGTCATCTCCGTGTAGCCTCTGCTCTTCTGCTATCAAAGGCACATTTCAGAATTCTTAGTGGGGAAAGAATGCTTGGACAGTAAGAGAAAATCAAAGGGATACAGAATCTCAATAGAAACAATAAGTTTCTAAAGACAGCTTTTCATTGATCTTCCTCGGGATTTCATCGA